AACCAGGATATAGAAGTATTCCATGATGGAATGGTGACTGTGACAAACAAACCTAACTGTATTACTAAGTTATGCCATACTTCACTGGAGGAGCTGGGAGACAGAAAAAGCTGACCTGAGTAGGATTTGAAAACAGCGTTTTGACAGAAGTTGTAAGGCTAACGACCAAAAGACCTGTACATAGCACTGCACCCTAGTTCGTAAATTTGCTTTTCACAGATGTATTGATTAGCAAATCTGAAACTATTCTACATGTATACTAGGATTGAAAAAATAAGTAAATGTAGAAAATGGAATTCAAGTTTTTCACTGTCAGATAAGGAGGCCACAAATAAGGGAAAAGGCTAGAATAAACCCAGCAGTGTAGACTAGAGTTGGAGATGTCATTGTGACTCATGTTTATTTAATATATATACAGCCAGATATATACGGTGCCATTAAGAAGGTGTGTTGGTAAAATTGTGTGTATTACTGAATATTTTGGCTATGTGGAATGGGGTAAAGTCATCCTGATCGATTGGCAAATGGGGGATGTCGATCCCTGATACTGCGTTCAGTGTAAGTTCCACTCGTTTTTTACATCATTATATAATTCCCAAATGCAGATTGAGGAAAGAAGAATTAGAAGATATTGTAGATAAAGTATTAAAGAATGTAATTGACTATGGAATAAGCATTAATAACCTATTATTTAGAACTGGCCCTCATATATTTCAATAAACATGTATTGTTATATCTCACTGATAATTCTAATTCTGAAGACAAGAATCTGAAGTATTAAATGCTTGATAATATCAAATAACTACAAGCACAGATTTGCTTGGAAATGGATCATTAAAATGAAAATTTTAATCAATACTAAAACTTGGTACAGGAATAATTTCAAAACTAACATGTAAAAACTGTTACTTTGAGGCTATTGAGCAATTCTTATCAAACATACTAAAAGTAATCATGTGGTGATGGTGTAATAATGACAACCCCATGTGGACTGCAGTGTGATGTGGTGAGGCTCACCAGAGACAGAGAAGACCGTCCAACTGGTCATCTCAGGTACACAGCTGCAAGGGGCTCAATTTTTTTATATTTGTTCACAGTAAATTACTGTTAATTAAAAGTTCATAAACAATGTTACAATTTTATAGTGGTGTACATTTGCATGGTAGTTGGTAAAACACAACTGTGAGTTATATCCCACTCCCAATACACACACACTGAAAGCACTGTTTGATATCCACATGAAAGAATATAATTTACTGATCAGAAGATAAGAATACCTCCAAAGGAAGACACCAGAAAAATAAAAAGTCCTTGTTTTCTTCCAGCTGATTGTGCCCTTTGCTATCAAATAAACTGCTTTCACATAGATCTTTAGATATTTAATGATGTCCTGTGAAATTTTTCTCTACTTTTCCTTCATTTAATTTGCAACTATGCTATTAGGTATATACCTGTTTACCATTGCTATGACTTAGTCATTAGGAGATACCTCTCTTTATCTATAGTAATTCTTTTTACCTAGAAATCTCTTTTGTCTGTCTTGATATAGCCATATGTATCCTTTTCCCTTAAACTTTTATGTATACTTAAATGTATATTTTCTCTTCTGTAAGTTTTTCCTTGCAGCACGACAACATCTTGCTTTTAATAAAGAAAGTAGCCTATTTACATTTAAGGTAAGTGCTGGTGTAGTTAGGACAAAGTCGGTAAAATTGTGATATGTTTCCTATGTGTCCCATAAATTCTTGGTCCTTTGTTCCTTCTTCTCGTCATTGGATGACTCAGATTTTTGGCATTTCATTTTTCTCCTCTATTGGATTCTTGCCTATAACTTTTCTTAATTTTGAGTAGTTGTTTTGAGTGTTAAAATAAGTATCCTTGAGTTTGATACTATGTCTTGAATTAATTTATTAACATTGCATCAGCGATGTAAGAATACACAATAGTATCCTTCTACCTCCTCTTCCATGATTTGCACCTCAGCTGTAATGTTTTGCTTCTCTCTATCCTTAATCCTACCTCTATTTCTATTATTATTATATATTTTTTTCAATTTTGAGTTATTCTTTTATTTTGAGATAATTATATGTTCCCATGCAGTTGTAAAAAAAAAATACATAGAGATGCCATGTTCCCTTTACCCAATGTCCCCAATAATGACAACTAACAAAACTGAAGTGCAATATCACAACCAGGATGTTGACACAGAAACAATTAAAATACAGAATGGTTTCATCCAAACAGTGCTTCACATTGCTCTTTTATAGCCACATAATGTTTCTTTTTGCTTCTTCCCCCGCCACACTTAAATGCTGGGAACCACTACTTTGTTCTCAATTTCTATTATTTTGTCATTGCCAAAGTATTATATAAATGAAATCATACGGTATGTGACCTTTTGGGATAAGATTTTTTCACTCAGCATAATTCCCCGGTATTATACAAGTTGTTTTGAGTGGCAAGTTTGTTCCTTTTCACTTCTGTGTAGTATTCCATGGTATGGATGTGTTAAAATGACCATTAACATTCACCCATCAAAGGTCATCTTGGCTGTTTTAAATTTTGGGCCATTATGAATGCAGCTGCTTCAAGTGCTTGTGTACAGGTTTGTATAAGAAGATTAGTTTTCATTTCTCTGTGACTAGTTCCCAGGATTAAAATTTCTGGATTGAATGGTAATTTCACTCAAAGTTTGTTTTTTTCTAAGCTTCTTGTGCTTTCTTATAGTGGTTGTATAATTTTACATTCCAACTAGCCATATGGGAGTGATCAAGTTTATCCACATCCTTGTCAGCATTTGGTGCTTTCTCTGTTGTATTTTATCCATTCTTGTGGGTGTGTAGCTGTCATAGAGTCTGACTCTGTTTTTTGATGTTTGCTGACAGTTTTAAAGCCTCACTCTTCATTCTTCCCCGTCCGCCCCACAACTGGGAAAATGAGAAGAAATACCATGTGTTCCGTTTTTGGCACCAGCAGGGGATTTAACCTTAACAAACCCTTGCTGCCGTGTAAAAATCCCCATTTCCCCCAATCCCTGAATGACAATAAAAAGCCCAAACCAGTTCTTATGTTCTCACTCAAGCCATTTTCAGCCCACTGGAAGGAGGCCTGCCCTTCCTTCTCTGGAAGCCTCATTATGTGAGCAATAAGCCATTTCATACACTCTTGGTGTGTCTGTGGCAACAACTGTCTCAACTGATAATTTGAGAAAATAATTCAATAGAAGGGGAA